AAAACATGAGCCAAATATTAGATTAAATAAAATATTGTACAACAGATACCGTTCTAAGTTCAAGTTCGATTTCAGGATTTTTTTTTAATTTCTTCTTTAATGAAAATTGCTGTACACTGAAACCTAATAAATTTTCAAGAACCTGAAATATTTACCGATTGATTTAAAGTACATTCAATAATATGTAAAAGCATATTTTTTACATAATTTAAATGTGAGTGAGTTTTAATTACTCACTTCATTTGTAAAAGTAACTTCTATTTTTCCAGTACCATCCACTAGAGTAGCATCTAAATTCCAAGATGTGTTTTGCTTTGATAATTTTCCGAGAACCTCTACGCGTCCGCAAATTGTTTTAATAGTCTTTTCTGTTATAATATCATTATTTATATCATAGATAAAATCACAAAGTTTTACATCTGGAGAACTAGATCTATTTGTAAATTCTGTGATTTTCCTATCAATTCTGCCTTTCTTTTTTATTACACGATCCGATGGAGACATTGGAATCTAAAAGATAATATTGTTAAATTATATCTAATAATAAAAATGAAATTATTATTTTTGATTATTCAGTAATATACTAGTCTTTTCGCTCCAATAGAAGGCATAGTTGTATCTGTTGATTGAACACAAGATCTTGAAGTAGATGCATTTTTCGACGAGTTCGTTTTATTCATAAACCATGGAGAATTTGAACGAGAAGATATTTCTTGTTTTACTACAGATTTGTTCATATTTTCATGCTTTATCTCTTCAACCATATCGTCGTCGTTTATTATAATTAGATCGTCGTCTTCTTCTTTTGGGAGAGCTCTAAACGGAGCTCTAACGGACATTTTTTGTTCCGGTTGTGATTCAATAAGCTGGCCTTCATCAACCTGAAATTAAGTTCTGTAATTTCGACATTAAATCAGACGAATCATTAAAATTATGTAATAAATCATTAACCATTTCTAGAAAGTAATCGTCGTCGTCTAAAATTATTTCCTCACTAGATCTATGATCATTTTTCTTTTCTACATTATTAACAATAACGTTTTTTCTTTCGGCTTGTACTGTACAACTGTAGTTGCTCGTATTTTCAATATTGATGTTGGTAAAAGGATTTTTTTGCATAGCTTCAACTTGCATTGTATTAACATTAGGCTGTTTTTGACTTTTCCTGTGTGTATTTTCAATTTCAGAAACTTCTTCAAAGTTTATCTCAAATTCATCTTCAAAGATATTTTCCAATTCATTCGCTGGTTCTTCTCTTTGTACAATGTTATTTGATTTGAGCTCGTTATCACCATAAGGATCTGGATTTTCTTCAACATTTCTGTGGATAAATTAATGCATCCTATTCAATTTAAATCTTAAATCAATAGTACTAATTATGATTCCTACTTACAAAGCTCGAGCCAGAACATTTTCTAAAGCATTAGGAATTAGTAAACTATCCACTTCACCACCAATTTTTTTCAACTTTTTTTCTTCTAACAATAAAACACCTCGACGGCATCTTACTGGTCCTATTATCATAACTTTGTATCCTGGTAATAACATTTCCTTGAATGGAAAAAATGTTAATGTTTAACAACAAATTTTTAATCTTCTCTCATATCATTAACTCTTTTGCAACTAGCAGTTTTTCAGGATTCTAACATTATAATGCTAATGAAAAAACAGAAATATTTCTTTGTATCTTAGTTGATGCTAAAGAGTAAAAAAAGATAAGTTTTATAATGCTTAATGGCATACATTTAATATAGACATAGGGTTGTATTCAATTCCAATTATATCCTGTATTCCGTCCGTTAATTTTAATTGTATCATTCTCTTTTTCGGGCATTTCCATTGTTCCATTTTTTGTTCTTCGGTTGCCTCTACCTCTGAAAAATGAGTATTTCTGATATTCTGTAATTGTTTATATTTGGATGTTGCAATATCATACATTTGTTCCACCTTAAATAAGGAATAAATAAATAAATTATAAGTTCAGTTCAACGTACCATATAAATATTGACATACCTGGAGAATATAATTTTCAGGTAATACAATAGACTTTTGCCCTGAAATATTACGTGGTAAACTTCCATTTTCATTATTAATTTCTCGCAAGTTGCTAAGTTGCCACTGTATTTTTACAAATTCTAAAATCTCCTGGTTACTCGACTAAAATAAAAATGATTTGAAATAAAAAGATTATAATATAATGTTCAGATATTCACAAAATCTGACAAAAACGAGATAAGGTAATGCCTGCCTCTTATGTTACAAAATTGCTCAAACGTTTCGAGTTATGTATAGTCGGGAAATGATTATTTACATTTTGGTTTTGCTGTACATAGAATTGTATACAATCTCTTAACCAGTCATCATTCATTACATAGAATTCTGATTTTAATTTGCGTTTTACACATCTAAATAAATCCTCGGTCATAGCTAATGTTATGACAGTTTTACAAACTAATCACAAGGAATTCTTACAGTTACCATGGTCCATGGCAGTCGCAAACAGATGCAAAACTCTAGCGTTTCCCGCACAAAGCAGTGCAGCCAATCGCTAGATGAAAGTTAAAGTTAAAGGTCACTACAGAATCGTTGCAGGGTTAGTGTTCTTTCCATGAGTGCATTTGGGAACTTATGAAAACGAGATTTGAGTAAATCGTCGTAATACAAGAGGTTTTACTTCTGAATTTATAAGTTTATTATCTCGTTTGAAATGCAGATATTTAAAAATTCGAGTTGAGATCAATTTACGCATGTACCATATAATAATACTGGTTAAGCAAATACAGGTAATCTCTGTATAATACGGTTGTATACTACGTGCACAACATGGTTTGAGAATTGGAAACAACCCCCATATAAAACGGTATCCTAGAATTGAAAACCCACGAATTAAAATATTCGAAATATTTCTCTATGAAAGAAATTACGTACACACCACTTAAACGAAAGAATAAAAAAATATAAATAGTATCTAGACTACTTACTTGAAAGGATTCCATTATTAATAACAGTAGACCATTACATCGTAGCGATATATGAAACATATCGAAACTTACAAGAGTTCTGATACTAGTCAAAAAAATAGTACGATGCGATCGAAAAATTCATTGGTTCATTTTTAACGTGTTTCCGTAATTTACCACTGTAATCGTCTACGTCATTATCGTCCATGGTCTTGATTCCATTGCGTCGTTTTTTAAAGCCGTTACGGCGTCGCTGCCGGCCGCGTCATTGTTATCACGGTTTTATCATTCTACAATGATTTTCATCCCCGCAGAACCAGTTTATTCGAGCCTATTTTTAGTCCTTCGAACATACATCTTTCCTGACAACCCTAGTGGGGGTGAGCTACCCTTAGTGGGGATTTAACGAGGTGGGGGAAAGGAGAAAGCCAGCCGTCAGGGCAACGCATGCCTTCTGACGTTTCAGTAGGCCGCGCGAGCTCGTACGTCGTGGACGTGTTATCGGAGAAAAGTGATTTCCTATTCTTCTCCCTTTTCTTTTCCATGTCAATCCGGTCTGTTTTCTTCTCGGCGATATTCTTGTGTGTGATATGATTCGTGAATGTGTACTGCGTCGTTTCAAGTGAACTCGTCGCAGACCGATGCACGCGTTGTAGGAGGTACGTATCCATGCCCGTGTAAAATACGAATGCGTGTACGCGCATATACATGTATCTCTGTGCACGCACGTACAATGTACAATGGTTCGATGTATTAGTGAGGTCGTGTGTAATAAGTAAACGATGGCTCACCGATTTCGAACGGAACGTTCAGCACACGAAACACGAATCCGAGAGAAATGGATCTGAAACGCGGAGAGCATTCGAAATTAATATGTTAGGGGTTACATAGTCACAGACGTTGAAATTCGAGGGAAACGTCTTCGTGTCATTCCACGTCGTGTCACAGCGATCGTTCCCTGTCCGGGTTAAAGTAATGCGAAGCACCTTTTCTCATACCCGCGACACTGGATCGCGATGCCGATAAAACGTTCTCGGGAATTTAATTGGTCTGCTTTCGTGCATAAATTGTAATATCGATTTAATATACGGGGCTTTTGAACCGCTTAGAAATGTTAACGGGTTAAATCGAGTCGAAGAATGAGATGGTATCGGATCGGTAGAACTTTCGTTGGAATTTACCTTTTTTTTTTTTAATATTGTGTACAGCGTAATAGGAGAGACGATGTGGGTGTTACGTGTGTCGAAGATGGTTATACGAGAAACATATGTGCGAAAATTCGTGTACGTGGTATGTAGGTACGATCAGGATGTTTTTCGAAGTATGTAACCGCCAAAATTGAGAATGCAGCCAAGGTCGTAGGATCCGCGGATTTATGATAGCCCCGACATGACATACGGTTTTAATTCTTTTCACACCCTGTGGCTATTTATTGTCGCGATTCGCGCGTAACAAGTAACGTATGTGTACGGAATATATCGCGCGGTCACGGGTTCTACCGATGATTTCGCGTGATAAATCAAATTTTATTTGTTCTCGTTGACGGTCAGCACGTTCATATCTTTTTCCAGTTAAATGATTACTAAACTACTCGACTTTTTGTTTTCTGTTTTTAATATTAAAAAGATATTATATTTCGTTCTTCCAATTTCGGAAAATCTTTTCGATTTCTATTCGACATTCTTGTATCGATAAATTAAAGAACGTAATTTTTTATTATACTTGAATGCAACGGATTTCTATCGTCTTTGTGGTCAGCAATTAATTAAAAGCGAGCGTTGGCATTTGCTTTCGCCGTGCATGTATCTTCGTTTGTCATTTGTTTTTCATGGTTTGTTCGTGTAGTTTACAATTGGGAAATGGCGAATGGAAAATTCAACGTGCAATGTTATCGTTCCATAGGGCAGCGACAATGCGTACTTGAAAATTTAATAGAAATTCATGATTCGTCTTCGACTTGAATAATATTTGTGAAAACTCGCTCACCAACTACGCGAATATAAAAAGCTGTTTATATCTTCGATATGTCAAGAAAAATGCACAAATGTTCGTTTATGTATTTGTAGTAAAGATCTAATGATGTCTCGCTGAAAATTAGAAAGGAAACCGTTTGTACATTTATATTGTTGCAGTCGGATTATTGAAAACAAAGATACTGTCGCTTGTACTTGCATTTTTTACAAATTTCTGCAGCAAGTTTTAATGTCTGCGTAATCGTACCAACAAGGAACGCGTGCTGATTAATTCAATTCGTTGGGATATCGTGTTACTCGGTGGAAAATGATTCTGTGCTTGGCGGGACAGGTGAAACGATGGGGCAGTATTACCTTTAGAATTATGTATTAATTTCCATACTACCTAGGACTTGTCGTTTATTTATGTGCAAGTGTGCACAATATGGATTGTAGAGCACGCGTGGTCGGGAATGAAATTTACGACATATACCACGGCGGAATGTATATGGTGATGTGTTGAGTAGCATCCACATAGCTATTACTCTAATTGTATTCTACAGCTTTTCTTCCCGTGGAGAGCATTTGAAATTCTCACAACTCATAGAATATTAAAAGTTGTAAAAATTGCATAGAATAGATTTCGAAAACGCAGCCCCATGTTAGAAAGCTCATTAATTTATTTAACAACGGAGTATGTATCTCCGGGAGAACTATATTACTCTATTTGTGACGAACAATTTAGAGTGAAATAAGTCTATGTACACATGTGTATGCATTTCTTTAATTAAGCGTCAATTTATAAAATTTGATAATGTATTCTGAATTTGTTCTCCGTTTAATTATAATTTCAGTTAGCATTCAGTTTCGAAGTGTGAGAGAGAAGTTTGTCGTTTCACGTATAATGAATTTTGCGATCGCTTTCATTGACGAGTCTTGATAATTTGTTATAGATATAATTTAACGTCGAAGTATACGTAGGAAACGAAGATCGTCTATTTAAAATTTCATTCGAGTCGAATTCAGGAGATATTTAATTAATCTAAAATTATCAGAAATTCGAGGTGTCATTGATTAAAGGGAATGATCATTGCTCAAGGAGCAAATGGATGCGACGTATGCAATTACGTTCGCTTTTTAAAAGGAATATTTTCCCGGTTTCCAAATGACTGTGGAAAAAGACGGTAAAAAAGCTGCACGTTGAATTTTTATGATCAAGATGCGAGAGGGTTGCTACCCCTTTGGGAATGTCTCACTAGCGATGTCACGTATCTCGCACAAAAAGCCTTAGCGAATCTTAAAATATTAAGAAAGAGATTTACCATTGTTACCGATCGTTTCGCGAAAAGTTCATCCCGACATTTTGCCAGGCTTTTTATTTTGTTGATGCGAGCGAGCTTGAATTTACAATTCCAATCCAGTAGAATGAAAAGAAGGGTCTGTATGTTCAATTAATCAACATTGTTGATCGTTCGTTCAAACGAAAGTAGATATAATCGTTTAAGCGTGATTAACATTTTAATCAGTTAGGCTACTCCGCCGTGGACACAAAATCAATACAGCGAAACATTCCGAAATAAAGCTGAACTATTTTCAAATAAACACATTATTCGAAGTACCGTTCTCAAAACCGTTCACGTTTGCGTTAAACGAAATATTTTCGTAACAGATGAACATTTTTAGAGTTAAAACACTGACGGATGCTCAACCCGGACATTCAGAAAATGATTACGTAACCATTACGCAACCTGTTTGCTATTCAAATTCATTCGAAGGGGTTGAAATTGGTTGATTTTATTTTCTAACTCGTAAACTGTAAAAGACAGATAAAATGTTCTTAGAAAAAAATTAGTCCTTGCATGTTTAGAATTTACCGTTTGTTTAAACAATTTAGTCGGTGCTTAACACGTTCGCTACCAGTGTTAACAGCTTCTATGGCGAATTTATCGCATTAAATGCAACTCTCATAAAAAGTGATCAAAATATCCTCAAAGAAAAGCTGTAAATTTTCTAAGCATCATGTTACGTGTTCAAATTTTAATACGGAAATTGTGTTGAGACTTTTCGTCATATTTATTATAGATTATACTTTATTCAATCGTTTCCCATGAAGAAGTCTTCATCATTTCAACAACTTTAAAAGAAAAAAAATGTAAAATCAGGCATTTTGAGCGGCTCGGTAGGTTGACCGTTAAATAACAACGTACACAAAATTCGTTCGACGTTCTATCCGTGAAATCTAACGTGAAATACGATATATTGACAACGGACATGTCTATTTCAACCCCTTAGGCTGACTTTGATCAGCAAAAGTGAATTTCGTGTTGGGGATTTCTCTTTCTGCTGCAAGCAATACGCTCGCCTTCTGAAATAGTATTTCATCCCAGGGACGTGTTCAGATTTTGTACGTGATTTATCGTGAATTTGGTCGGCAGAAGGGAATTTTTGGTGGAGGATCTTCCTTTCTAAATAAACTGCTCGCTGTTTTGTAATAGTATTTCATCCGCGGGACGTGCTTAGACGTTTTATCTTGTGTGTGATTTATCGTGCAGTAAAAGGGGCCGCAGAAAAAGAAAACGAATTGTCGCACGAATAAATAAAAAATGCAATTGTTGCGAAGGGTGTGGAGCTGCATGGGACGCGACCCCGTTTTAACTGGTGTTCTTCGGTTAACAGGTGAACGTCGATCGAAGTGCGGGGGAACGATGTACCGGCGAAAGGATGAAGAATAAAGACGCGTGAACTGTTTTTCTGTGACGGGGTTGGCCGTGACGGAGAATGTTCGCCGAGAAATTGACTTTCCTGAAGTGAAAATCGAGAACCGTCCCCGCGGTGCTTCGGAGAGTGACGATTGAAATGTGATAACGGGAGAAAGGGGGAGCAGGCAATAGCGAAAAGTTCGGGGAGAGGGTAATATGTACTTGCAAACACCGAAACAATGTGCGACAAAGGAGGCTCCTAGGAAGGAAAAGTTGGAAACTACGAACCACACTCTGGAGACGGTCGCCTCCTCAATGATGAAGACAGAAGGCACTTCGTGAAATCCGAGGTGAGTTTCTTCTTTGTTTTCATCCCTGCCCCCCCCGTTCTCCTTCTTCTTTCGAATATTAAAATTCCGGATTTTAATCACAACGCTGGCTTTCTCATCTCGCGAGATCGAACCGTTTAATTCGTTGTTACGGAAACGTGTAATCCGTTGTTTTGAAATCGTTTCTGATCGAGATTCATGCAGAAGTTGTTCATCACCGTTTGCTGGGCTATACTTTTTCCGACAATTTGCCCTATGATCCACGGAACTACGGTCTTCCTTTTTTAATAGCAACTCAGTCGCGACTTTGTAAGCAATAGTTCTCTTTGGAATCGTTGTCTAATACAAAATTCTAAAATTTCTCTGAAATGTTGAGATTCCAATCTTCATACTTAATTTTACGAAAACTAAAATAAGGCTATCGATTAAACAATTCCTAGTGATAACGGAATAGATTTGTTTTTGTTAATAAGCATGTTTTCCGGTGTTTCGTAAACTTCGTAGAGTCTACAAATGCATAAGTGAGGACTCTATGCGTTTATTTCATGTGCTGTGGAAAATTATTATTATTGGTTATCGAGAACAGTTATTTGTTTATTTATTTATTTCAATATTGTAACGTAACGAACCCTCTGTGTTACAAAATTAGAATAGAAAGCGATAACCGTCAAACTGACAAGTAACAAATGGAACTCGCCGCAATAAAGAACGACAGGATACAGAAATAAATGCCTAAAGTTACAAAATATAATTGCTGTTATCTTAATTAGATAGAATGTTATGGGTGACGCACGTAAAACCGAAGTTTGAAACGTAAGCGTCCGATGCGATTCAACGGATAATTAACTCTTCCGGTTGTCCAATCATTAACTATTCGATTTATCACTTGACTACGATCTAATTAACTGCGATATCAAAAGATTTACCAGTTACTCGGCGACTTAAATTGTATCCAATATAGAAGAACAGTAAGGCAAAGTCGTCGAAAGTTTTCCTGTTCCGTTGGAGTGAATATTTTTCGAGAACAATGCTTTCAGCGAGAGATCTTTCTTGGCAATCTAATATTTTAGAAATACCTGGGCGAACGGAGGAAGAAATACATGAAAAATTGAAGAAGGGCCTGCCAATATATACTCGGAAGACTTGGTCTTTTAGATTGCTCTGTTACAGAATGTTTCAGAGAAAGCTGAAACATAGATAGGTGTTACAATCGAGTATTCGCGATCTTCACCGTCGCTTTCAATACATCAGTGAGAACTGTCTGCCAATGGTTTTACATTTCTAGTGGATTTATTATCTCTTTGTCGTACTTTGACGAGTCTGACTCGTCATGAACATTTCTGGTAATAACTTATCGAGTATAGATGTTATTCTGTCCTTTAAAATTGCAATGAAATTCTAATCTCTTGTCGTCGATATTTAAGCATTCAAGTAAATTTAGTCGAAATTTTCTTTCCCTTCAAAGAAATGATTGCAATCGAAAAATTTCTAATCGCGGTAACTGCGAAAAAATGGTATGCCAAGGGGTTAAGGATAAGTACTAACATCAAATAGCTTCCCAACGTAATCATCAATGTGCTATTCAATTTCGACGTATCGTTTTGATTCACTAGCAATGACTCAAAGATCAAGAATAAAGAACCTCTCAAACAATTTTTCAGTGGTGATAGCAACTTCGTTCGTAAACCAACAAATTACATCGAATAACACTAATCACCTCTGTTGGCATCACTTTTCTTTGGATATACTATGCAGTGCTGTAAATAATTATGAATCGAAAGTAACTTTTACGTTTTTAGAGATATTTAAACAAAAACTTCACAAAATACGGTACAGTAAATTCTCTCTAACTGACGCTCAGATTGTACACAGAAAAATGGACAATTTAGGAAGAGGAGATACGATTATTCAAGCCTTGCGGGTCGTTTGATAGTTTTTATAATTTTAATTTAAAAATTTAATTTTTTAAGTTACCGATTGTTTTTTTTTGTAGTTACCGATCGTCAACAAATATAAAAACGAGTCGCAAGGCTCGAATAATCGTATCTCCTCTTCCCAAGTTGTCCATTTCTGTGTACAATCTGAGCGTCAATTAGAGAGAATTTACTGTATTCGTATATTTCTATATGATAAGTAATAGAAAATAGAAATATAGAAGCATGGTATTTTTGTAAGTTTTCGTTTAGACATGACAGCAACAATGTAAAAGTTACTTTCAGTCTATAATTACGTACTCCATTCTAGTCAGTAATAGACTTCGCATTTTCATCTCTTCTTCGATATTCTTTTTCTATGTCCAAAATGCGTAGTCTAATAATTAAGAAACTCGTCAAGAAGTCACCCCACTGGACAGACATTAAAGATTCATAAATTCACCGTAGAACAGAGCCTGCAAATGTTATTCATTTGTTTATTGGTGCTTTAAACCAAATGGTTTATGTTGATAATATGCGGAGCAGAAAGAGAAGCCTGATAATGGAGGGAGTTTTGGGAGCAATGAAATTGAATTTTGTAAGGTTGAAGGGCAAGTTTGGGAGACTGTAATCACGAACCACACGCGACTGTGCTCCGTCCGAGATCTTAGACCATATATCTACTTATATCTAGATACGGTTTTAGGTAATTTTCTTTAGGCAGAGATCAAATCATGCGCGTGACGTCAGAAGGAACAATACGTTGAAAACGTTTAACTTTCAGAAGACAACTTCAATTGATTAAGTATGAAATATGCATATTTCAAGAATTATAATTTCGCAGAACGTGTTCAGAGCTTAATTCAGAGATGCTGATACTGTTCAATCTATAATTATTTTTCTACAATTTATTCTGGCTTAAAGAAGTAACAACAACAATAGTCGGATTTCTGGGGAAAAATTCAGTTTTTTTTTTACACGTCGCGTGAATCGGGAGCATCTAAGATTTGAACTTGAAGTTGATGCGATGTCAGCCATTTTGAATGATGATTTTTTACTCAAAGCGTGACGTCAGAGGGCACAGTGATGTTTGCCTATCCGGGGGGTTTCTATACACATACTATACATATGCCCCGCCGCGACTAGTAGTATTCATGACATGTGTGGAACCGAGACCGAGACCGAGACCCGAAATAGGTGTTTCAGCAGAAAACGTTATCAGCATCAGTAGCGAAGGGGCGGTACTCCCTTGGCGAACCGAGGACGTGTTTCTCTTTAAAAGAAATTAGCAGTGATACCTTTCAGGGCTCTTGGCCTCCTCTCGAGCACTCTAGAACGCGGAGTGCACGGGCACGAGCCTTCCCCAGTCCTCTGTGTGCTATCGCTGCCCTTATTATACGATACTCCGCCGCGAACTGCATCTTTGTCACGAGGAACATTAGAGAATACACGACGAGAATGAAACACGGGGATCAACGTTATTTTTTTAAATCTGCTCTGAATTATTTACTCGCTTGATCGTAGACAGTTTCTTCACGTCGCTTGAAAAATCACGAGGTTGCATTACAAATTTTGCAAGAATTCGTAAAAAGATGTTAAACGGAGATCAATAGGATCTTTTGAATCTGCTCCAAATTATTATTCGCATTACCGTAGAAATTTTTCACGATTTTCTTCGTTCGTGACATTTTCTTTTCTTCGCTTGAAAAATCACGCGATTGCGTTAAAAATTTGTAAGAATTGATGCGAAGATGTTAAACGGAGATTAATGTGATTTTTTAAAATCTGCTCCGAATTATTATTCGCGTTACCGTAGAAAATTTTCACGATTTTCTTCTTTCGCGAGATTTTCTTTATTCCGCCTGAAAAATCACGCGATTGCGTTAAAAGTTTGCAAGGATTTTCGCGGAGATGTTAAACGGAGGTTAATGTGACTTTTTTTTTTAAATCTACATCGAATTATTATTCACGTTACCGTAGAATTTTCTTCACGATTTTCTTCTTTCGTGACATTTTCTTTACTTCGCTCGAAACATCACGCGAAGTCTTGGAAATCAGAATTTCTATGCACATTTTCTTAAACGGTCACTTTGTTTTATTTATAAAAAAGATATTGGAAACACTTTATAGAAAATATACGAAGATACTTTAACAATCAGATAGAAGAAAACGAAATTGTACACGATTAAGCAGAAGTAGATATATAGATATAACTTAATTTTAGGTGCGAGACTTCACAATATAGTCATCCTGATACTATATGACATAACAAATCAGTTATAGTTTCGAATTGAATGATTTGATGAAAATTTAGGAAAAAGTGGGAGGAAATGGGCAACGCGTTATTTTCTAATGTTTCATACAGCCTAATTCACTTCGAATTTCGTGGAAATCTAGTCAACGTTTAACACATTATGTGTGCGGGAAAGGTATTAATATCTTTCTAAAAAATTCAATTTTTGTTTGATTAAACAACATTTAATATTTGCAAAATTGACAATAAGGCTTTGGTAACAAGTATATAACGAGGATTTCTAGGATTTCGCAGAGGGATTCTTTCAAACATGTAACGAAGTTAAACGAAATTTAATTTTCTAAAAAGGTATTAATACCTCTCTCCCGCGCACATAATGTGTTAATCTTCAGTGATCCGGTTTTTGCTACTACAGTGTCCGAAAACGGGCAACTATCTGTGCTAGTCAACTGAAATGGTCTAACTCGCAACATTTGACTTGCGCGTGCACTTACGTTTTCCGTTATAGAAACGTTGAAGATTTCGATGGAAAAATGCTCTCCAAAGGTTAAACTGGCGAGGAAATTTACGATGCAGCTCAAGTTTTTCCTCGAGCAGCAACGTTTTGACATTTTCTTCGTAACGAAACATTCAAGGCAATTTCTTTTTGCAGGACGCGAGCTTTTAATACACTTTATACCGTTTTCTTTTTCACGTGCTACAAAGCAATTAGGCGAACGCAATTACGTGGGTCAGGAAGATTCGCGGGTCGGAGGATTGAGAGACAGCGAAGCCAGTTCTGAAATGGTGAAAAATAATTGTTCGTTAAGCTCGAACGTTGCTCAGTCGTTATACCTTTCGTTTCAGGGGTAGCGTACGCGTTAATAATTAACTTTGTCTCGACGAACTGAAAATACGCGCGAGCTTATCGCACGCGAATTTTCGCGTTTGTTCGATCGGCCGGGCGTACAAGTTTATTCATTGTTAATCCGCTAATTCTCAGTTATTTTCGTACGCGTATTTGCTCTCAGTGCATAATACATCTTGTTCATCCTCATTTGGCAAAAGTAGCACAAAAATAGACGCCGAATTACCGCAGCTGTTAACTAATCTTAAAAAAAAACAAAAAACACTTCAATTTGCATTGTTGTATACAAAGAACGCACGGTATTATTCGTAACTGTTCGCGCGATATGCAATTGATGCTCATCATTAAATCAATGTTTTGCGTATTTCTCAGTAATAATAATTAATGTTGCGCCCAGTGCGTGTTAATCCTATCGCCGGTACTCATGCGTTCATTTAGTATGAAATTAATTGGATTTACAAGTGTTCCCGACAACAGTTCACGACAATTAACAGTGGACACTGTTCTCTGAGAACTATACCTTATCAGTGGTTCGACAAAAAATACAAAGAAAATTTGTATAAAGATAGTTATGGTTTCCAGAGCGATGAAAGGTCCTTTGGAAGCTATTGATTCGGTTTTTAAAAATTTAAGGGAATCTGATCTATGCAGAGAGAGCGATTGAATATGTTCGATGGGGTTTCTCTTGAATTTCACGAAAAGAAACGCTATCGCGCGTTTCCGATTTATTTTAATACCACCATCGTCACCCCCTAGGGGCTCTGTTTGCAACGTGACAGCAGCCACACGGAGTACTATAGCGCACATTGATAACGCACGGGACAGTAAGTGTTACAAAAGTTCAGGAAGGAAGTGCGTGCGGCTCGCAAAGAGTGCTCCATAAATATCGGAACCTGTCGATTGGTTATTATCAATTATCCACTCGAGCTCGTCATCAAACAACGCCCGGTAACCTCCTATCTTTACACCTTTTATCCGCAGACTGCTCCGGCCCCGTTAATTCGATGGATCGAAACGATGCAAAAACGTTATCAGTTATCAGCTATCAGCGGGAGCTTGTTAACGGTATCGGCTGATAAATTTGAATTTATGAGATCAAAGCTTATCGTCGTCCTGCGACAATCACTACCGTGTCGAACATATAAATAAACGAGCGAGATGAAATTCTAAAAACAAAAATCTGCCAAAGATTAAAGGTATTTTGCAATGGAAAGCAACTTTTACATTGTTGCTGATATCCAGACGAGAACTTAACAAAATATCATATTGGAATGTTTCTATATTAGAAATAATAAAAAAATAGAAATATACAAATACGGTGTTTTGTTAAGTATTTTTTTTTTTTAATATACAGGATGCATCAGTTAAAGGAGTCCACCTACTGTGCTGTGAATAATTACAAACTCAAAGTAACTTTTACATTTTTAGTGATATTTAAACGAACACCAAAAAACACTGTATTTGTATATTTCTATTTTCTATTATATCTAGTATAGAAATATGACGTTTCGTTAATTTTTTGTTCAAGTATCAATAAAAATGTAAGAGTTACTTTGAGCCCATAGTTATTAATTAACACCACTGTATAAATGAGTGAGAAATATTTGAGAAACTGTAGAATTGAAAGGTTCGCACAGTTTGATAGCTTCAGAAACATTAATTAACACAAGTAACAAAGATCTAGTTATGAAATCGAAATTTACACAAATATTTAGTATTTAAAAATTCTGATTATGATATTTCGACGCTTTGTGAACACTTGACAGGGTTGATGTTTTCATTGGAATTTCGTTGCTATGGTTATGGCCGTTCTACATTTCATTAATTGTACTGAATAATTAAATTCAGAAATACAATTGATTATTCGTCACACGGAGCCACGGAGGCTACGTGTGCGCAGACAAGTCGAACAAGATAATTCATTAAATAGACATAAATCGAAGTCCGTTCGACATTGTTATATTTTTATAAGCTTGTCGCGAGTGTCGCGATTCGATTTCACGCGTGACTGATCAAAAAAAGTGCTCACTATTGCAATAATTCTAGTAATTCAATCTTCCAATGATTCTCATATTTAAACTTCTATACTATTTTAATAAGTAATTCGTAACCATTTCTAAATTCTTCTTTTCGATATAATAGAAGAAAAATTACTGATATTTTGTTCGCAAGTAATTTAATCAGTGGTCACATTTCATCTCCACTTTAAGATTCGAATTAGCTTTTGTGTATGACAAAATCTGTTTTTATAAAATTATAAGATATAAATAAAATGTGTAAAATATATAAAGAATATTTTTTGTAAAATAAACTGTGCACGAACGCGTATAGAAATCAAATTTGATTTTTTAATAAAGTCTCTCAATATGGATTTTTGTATGAATCCTTTTATTTTAGTTTTCCTTTAACGTTTTTAAGAATACGGAACCAATCACCTATTCTTTCCTATGTATGTACCTATACACGAAGTCTTTTTTTACACGCTATTGTTTCACACACGTTTCTTTACACGGTTTTTTTCTGGAACGTATCTGCCGTGTCAAAACAGAATTGAGTGTATTTTCTTTTGTACAGCAGCGTTTTTTTCCGTGAATAAATGAATAAGATGAAATAATGCTATCACGCGTTTAATATTTAAGATTTCATACTTGAGAGTGAATTATTTGGTCATTTTTGTCTGCGATTCTCAGCCGTCACCTAATTTGTTAACGATGAAATTGCAAAAGTGTTACGAGGTCAAACGTTTCGGGAAAAGGGCACGTGGAATTCTGGGCATATTCGCGGGCGAATCGATGAAAGCAGATTCCCAGCACAATGCAACAATTTCGAAAGACGCTCGAGTGTTTCATCTGCCGTCGACATCGATTTGAAAGAATCGATCCCTCCGAATCGGAAGGCTCTTGAAATATTTGAAAGTTCCCCCGCGGTCGCCCGCACTCGGCTTGAATAATTCAAGATAACGCTCCGGAATCGCGACACAGCAACAATTCCCCGCGAATCTTAAGAATTCTAGACCGTTGCTCGTGGAATTTTTCGAATTCTTGTTTTTCACGCTGGTTTCCCGGGCTTCTGGAACTCTATTTATAAGCAGCTCCGCAGGAATCTGCCGAATTCCGGTTCGACCAGCTTTTCCATTAAAGTGTTCTGCCTGAAAACAGAAAAATCAGATTATCGCTCTCCATCGAAACTTCATTATTCCCGTTCATAAGATGCAGCAAATTTCATTTCAACAGATCGATTGTCGCGAGCTAAGTGATTGGAATTTGTTGATAGGCAACATGAAAATTTGTTGAAACATTCCCAAGAATATTTTCATTGAATTCTCGTTTGGCAAATTTTAGCACCTCGACGTAACAGTGTCCTCGAATTCTTCCGAAGTTATCCTTGTTTTCTATTTAACAACTCATTGGTGGCGCGAATGCATAGAAAACGCAGTTTATTCGTTTGTAAAAATGTTTTTCACATAGTTATTCTAGATGGTAGAATTATTCTTCACGAGACGACCTGTATGTGCAGTTGAAAGAATATACAAATGCATCAATTGTATTAGCTGCATTGACTGTATTAACTGCATTGACTGGATTGACTGCATTAACTGCATCAACTACATTACCTACAGGCGGGAATTAACTGCCATTTATTTTCCAGATAAGGTTTTGAAAATACGCAATTTGATAGCATTTCTTACACTGATTCGAATTATGTGCAAATTATTTCGCCAACTAATTCGAATTCTTATTCAGATGAATTTCTATCTAGTTCAATTTTTATTCGATTGGTTATTCGTTAGTTTTTATCTCTTAACTGTTACTCGGACAAAATTTTACCCATCTCTGATACGTATGTATTATACGTGGTCAACAAGAGGAGAATTGTGTATACAATTTTTTATTATTAAAAAGATTAGTTGGTAAAATAATTGAATGCATAGTGTTGACGATACGAATGAAACATCGTAAATAATGTTCGTCCTGATAACAACGAGAGAAGTACGGTAAATTCTCCCTAATTGGCGCTCAGATTGTGGACGCAAAAATGGACAATTTCGGAAGAGGAGAAACGATTATTTGAGCCCTGCAGCTCGTTTTTATGGTCGTTGACAATCGATAACTATAAAAACGAGCCGCAGGAACAATTGTAGAGTCACGCTATCGGCAGAGACGTTAATTTTTCGATTTGGTTAACTGATTCGGGTTAACGCCGGCGCATGGCGGCGTGTTCATTATTTGTGAATAATAGTTGAAAATGTTGTTCTGTTCTCGTGTTCCGAGAGGGTAGGCGATATCGGGCATGATAAGGATGAACTCGTGGCCGTGGGTGAGACGGAGATGACCACTAGATCCGTGCCTCGTCCTGAAGACGAAGACGAGGAGGACGAGGAAGAAGAGGAAGAAGAAGAGGAGGAGGAAGAGGAAGAAGTCAACAAGGAGGCTCGTTCGAGTCTACGATATCACTGCCACTGATATCCACTCTCTCGTCGCATCGATGCCGACCTCTGCATCCATTGATAGAGGTAAAATATTTTTCTTTCTTTTCCTTTCTCAATCACTTGCCGAAAATTTCGAGAAATATTTTCCAAAAATATTATTATTCTATATTATTATATTTCTCGCTATGGTCGATAGTTTTTCGTGTACAGAAACATCGCTGTTCCAATTCAATGCTGAGACATTCGAAAAAAAACGTGATTTGGAGATATTCTACTATTTCATACCAAATAGTATTATTTTGATAATGCAATACTGACATATTAAATGTATATGGCAAAGCATTAATCACTATATCCAACACTTTTGTGTGTGTCTGGAGAATTATTGGGATATTAAAGTATCTATATTTATATAAATTTTTTAATTATATTTATTTACATTTATATTTATTTTATTTTATTCTATTCTATTTTATTTTATTTCAACATACATTAGTAAAAAATTTCGTGAAAATAATATTGCATTATTGAGATAAACTTCATTATTTAGACACATCTCAATTAGAGCAGTGATATGTAGACTGCTAGAAGGTAGATTATAGACTAGGTTTACGGAACGCGTCCAAGTCATGCATTTCAAATCGTTTAATTTCCGATTATTGCAATCATGAAGATGCATTTAAGGGGATAATAAATTTGTGGGATAATGGTGGGCATGGTGTACGATTTTGGCTAGTGTACATTTTTGTCTCGCTGTATTTGAACTATTTTGCATTCTAAGCATTTTAGTCAAATTCACTTTGTTTCTCTCGTATATAATATTATAATAAATATGAATTTCGAGAATTAGTCGAAAAATAGGGTCATCCCATAAGTGACCGACACGGTAATAAACGCGTGTTTCATTTCTTGCATTGATTTCATCACTAGGATGATGAATCATTTCTAGACTGTGATTTTGTGCACTTCTATACACTATTTCCAACTTACTAAAATGATTAAAGAAAGGAAGACGTTTCTATCTGGTATACTGTTCGTCGCCATTTTGACGTACGAAATGTTTACTTTGCACAGAGATCCCAGATACTATACTTAAATATGATAGAGTCAAATGACACTTCAGTGGATCGAGATCAGCAACAAATATTACTATATTGATGAATCGATGCTGCGGCATGGGAACATCTTTCGCTTATTGTCATTGATCCACCTGCAGCAGTGGCCTATGCAGTTCAGATGCATCAAAACGCAAATGCCAAATATTACTATTCAAACAAAATGTCTTTCGCATCGTCTTCGCGCAAAGTTAATTAGTCCGTAGAAATGTTAATCGCTATTTGTGTGTGCTTTCTACGAATTCTAACGTAAAAATTCGATTTGTGCAGAATTACAATTCAATTACGATTGAATACAAGGGGATTTAATTACAAAGTGATTCAATTACGTTATAATTCAATCACATCGTAGTTCTTCGTTCAATCGAATCGTTCGTTCATCGTAGTTCTATTCAATTAAATTACAATGTAATTCATAATTGCAATTGGAGTACAATTACAAAGTACCAAGTAATTCAATTACGTTAATTACAAATTATGATTACGTATTACGGTGTAATTGAATTAAGATTACGAATTACGGCGTAATTGAACTAAAATTACGAATTACAATGTAATTCAATCAAATTACGAATTATGATGTAATTCAATCAAATTACGAATTATGGTGTAATTCAATTAAAATTACGAATTACGAAAGAAAAAGATAAAAATGTACCTCGCTTCTTCAAAGTAGCGGATGGTAATTTGAAGAACTGCATTTCAATTGCATTGTATTCGAATTACACTCTCGATTAAAATAATTAGCAATTGAATGAACCGAAAGGTTTTTCAAAATTATGTAATTGAATTGCACTCGTAATTAAAATAATCATGGATAAATTTGCCTGTAAGTTTTGAATTATGTAATTGAACAGCGCCGCAGTTGAATTACCATGTAATTGGAATACAATGTAATTAAACTGCGAAATTGTATTGCAACGTAACCGAATTAGCATAGCTCTGGTGTAAATACATCTGCGAGGACGAGCAAAACTTTCCGAGCAGAACTTCGCGTGCCGGAAGCGATGTTCCGAATCATTTTTATCGGATATTGCTTACAATATTTTTGGACGTCGGAATTCGATTTCGCCGGAATACCTCTGTGCACTATGCATCGAGACGAATCTCATCCGAGGTTGCAGACGTTTAATAAAAAAAGTTGTTATAGCGGGGCGAGCTAAATATAACGGCTAGATGCTTTCTCGGCAGAAAGTGTATGTACAAAAGATGTTTCGTAAGGCTGTTACAAAATTAAACGTTAACTCGAAAAATATTTTGATACCACCGGCGGGGCGACCGGCGCTGCACACGGATGCACCGAATAACGGAGCTGAAAAATGCATTAGCCTCGCGGCGTATGTAAATTAAGCGAGAAGAAAATAGAATTGATTTGTCGGCCTGCTCACTCTCCCTCTCCCTCTCCCTCTCTCTCTCTTTCTTGGAGAGTTCTTGTTACGGAAAAAAATTTGGATCGCGTGAAAGAAACGCTCCGAACGCACCGGTTCCATCTGGAGCTCGGCCGATCCGTGATAAATGGAAGTTGTTCCGTTGGCAACGATAAAATCGGCCAAGTGAATCTTGACCCGATCGGCGATTGTTTACGCTCGGGACCTTGATACTCGCCAGACCACCGAAGAAATTTCGGAAACTGGCTTGCGGCGAACTCGGCCGGCTGCCTCTGTTCCTACGCTTGTTTCCCTCGGAGAAGACCGTTTTTTCCCCGGCTCTCGGGCGTACCTTCCGCTGCGAGGATTATTCCCCGCGGGGAATATTCTTCCAATTTTCTTTCAGGTCCGCCTCCGTGAAAGAGCTCGTTAGCTTTGAATTAGAGCTAAATATTTGATCGATATTCGGCTCGAAGCGACTGGCCGGAAACGGCCGCGAAGAAAAATGTTGCCCTCTCGTCGGCAGTACTCGCGGACCCTCGCAATTAGATTGCGGGCTATTTAAAATCGTGTTTCGAGATCACCTCGCTAAGAGAGCAACGAAACGGATACTTTACGAGAATGCACGTTTTTACGCTTCGTCGCTCGCGTTCATTCGGCTCCTTCGATGAATCGCTAAATATAAACGTGCCGATTGTTAACACGTTTCCCGCTCGTCTCGCGGAACTCCATTCTCCTTTGCATGCTGCAGGAAACGATTGTGGTCCCGCGGCTCTCTTAACCGCCGTGTCTCTGCTTGGAAATATTGAACAGTTTTCGGTTACAATAATCTGCCGGGGAATGATTTCGCATGTGCAATACTTGTGCTTGCAAAAAGTGCTCGAACACATTCTGAAACGCAGATTCTGAAACTGGATTAAATGAATTTTATTTTCATCTTAAAGGGATCAATGTAGTGTACAATGATTAAAATACTTTCTTTTTTTAAAATTTTTGCTATTACTTCGAATGACAAAAAATATAGAAAAACTCTCGTTTTTTAACTTTTTTGTCTGAACCAGGATGGAAGATTTAAATAAACTCGTTCCGTAGATCACGGTAACCTATACGCATACTGAAACTCTCATTGAAATCGGTTTGCGCAGAGCCACAGCCATTATACAGGATGTCCCAAAAATGTCTCGCGATCCGAAAGTGGCGAGTTCCTCAGGTCATTCGAAGCAACTTTTTCCTTTACAAAAATGTTCTCCGAGGCACCATTAACGAGTTATTAACGAAAAACAGTGACCAATGAGAGGCGAGCTCGGCTGGCGCGAGGCGACCGAGCCAATGAGCGGAACTGGGCTTCGTGCGCTGGTTGGCTGGGCCGCCTCGCGTCAGCCGTACTCGATTCTTATTGGTCACTGGTTTTCGTTAATAACTCGTTAACGGTGCTTCGGAGAGAATTTTTGTAAAGGAAGAAGTTGCTTCAAATGATCGGACGAACCCGCCATTTCCGGATTGCGAGACATTTTTGGGACACCCTGTATAATGCAATACTTGCTACAGCCAAATTACTTGTTTTCGTTGAAATCCGTAAAATTGTCACGATCTTCCATTTTTTGCAAGCCGTAACAACGTCAACCGATTTCGATGAAATTTCCAGCATGAATACAAGTTGAAATAACGAATTATCGAAGAAAGCCAAATCGAGATTTCGTTTTCGAAATTCTTGTCGAATATACGACCGACTAATATGTCTGTCTATCACACGATTATTCTACTTGCAGTCAGCACTCGCAGTATTATCTCTCGAAACTATTTCTCAACACTGCGTAAGGAAAGTCATACACTATTTAAAAAGTGTCGTATCTTCAAAGTGCATAAAGTATCACCGAACTTTTTTATTTACTCGCAATCTTGTTGTTTGCTTCAAACGTGCCAAAGTTTCTGATGGCATTCCGTTGCATTTGAAAGACGTGCAAGTTAAATATGTTAAGGAACGAACTCGATCAAATTATTACGTACTACGCTCAATGTAAAAGAGCGAAGAGCTAATTGGTTGGCAAACATCTATGCGGAACAATATCTCAAAAATATTTTAAAAACATTTTAGAAACATCTTCAAAATATTTTAACACTTATATGTATATAATTTTAACACTTTAATGGCCACTTACACAACATGTGTCTGTGATGCTTTAATAATTATCACACAAAGGAAAAAATATTAAATTTGTTGTATTATTATTGTTGTTGTTGTTGTTGTTGTTTTTTATGTGTATGTTCGCACATGTTGAATTATTTCATGAATTTACATAAATATACATAAATATTGCCGGTCTCTGGCGACGTTTGACTGCGTAGACGTGCGGTCATTAAAGTGTTAAGAACGTCTTAAAAACATCATAAAAACCTCTTAAAAGCATCATAAAAACCTCTTAAAAACATCATAAAAATTCATAGCAAGAATCAAAATATTTTGCACAAGATCAGTTGTCCCAATTTTTTAACTTGTCGACGGATCTGCGTTGCGTTTCTGTTAACATTGTTTTACTATAATCTGTCATTCTTGTCAACAAGCTCAAAGACACGTTCCCTGAAAAATATTTCGAAAAAGATT